ATTCAAGAAATAAAGTCTTCCCAAACAAGAGGTAGACAGCATTTTCTTCTCTGGATAAAAGTACTTTGACACACATACATCTAACACAATGCGGTGTCAAATAAAACAGGATTTACCAAGGGGCCTTACTGCAGAGAAATAGAAGAGCCCCCATAAGTCCATGTTCATCATCCCACCTACAGGTGGGTCTAAGCCAGCCAGAGCAGGACTGGGTGGGCATGTGAAACCCTCCTCCCAGCAGGGAAAGGAGTCAGCCCGTAACATACTCTCTGTATTGATAAAGGTTTCAGTGTACTCAGGAGCTTAGGTAGTATAGTGGTTACGAGTTGGGCTGCTAACCTCAAGACCAACAGTTTGAAACTACCAGCCGTTCCATGGGAGAAAGATAAGGCTTTCTGCTCCTGTAACGATTTACAGCCTTAGAAACAGGGTGGCTAGGGGTCAGAAACGACTCTACAGCACTTAATAACAACAGAGTAGGAACTGACTCCATGGCACACAACCACAGGTTACTTAGAGGCCTGATGTAGCGCTCCACTGCACTGTCCGGCTGAACCGCGAGGTCAGTGGTTCAAATCCACCATCCACTCCTTGGAAACCCTATACAGGGTCACTGTGAGTGGAAACGACTCAGGGACACTTAGCAACCACAGATTACTTGTACTGACTCCTGTGGCTCTGTTGAACTGTCTGCTTAAAACAAATTTGCGTCCATTGGAACCTGGCTTTGAACCACCATCCCTGATAACGGAAGTCTTGCTTTCCTCCCGGTTTCCGCCCCCCCGCGCGCAGAAATCGATGAGTGCCGTTCTCAGCCTTGCCTGCACGGAGGCTCCTGTCAGGACCGAGTCTCGGGCTACGTTTGTCTGTGCAGCGCGGGGTACAAAGGCGCGCGCTGTGAGCAGGGTGAGTCCTAGCCATTGCTGGCCCAGCCATGTCTCCCTTAGCCCAGTCTATCTGGGGACGGCAGGCTGAGCGCTGGGGGAGAGAGGGGAGCCTTACCGCCCCACCCCCGACCCCTACCCATGCTGGCTGGGCCCTCAGGGTTTCCTAGGGCTCTCAGCCGTGTGAGCAGATCCAAACCCAGGTGGTCAGGCAGGGTGAGGAGGCGGCCTGGGCTGGAAGGGCAGTATGGAAGCAATGTGGATACGTGGGCAGCTTTGTGTCCCTCCGCAGAGACTGACGAGTGTGCGGCAGGACCCTGTCAGAACGGGGGCTCCTGCCAGGACCTTCCGGGGGCCTTCCTCTGCCAGTGCCCCGAGGGCTTCGTCGGGGTCCACTGTGAAACAGGTAAGAGCTCCCTTGGGTGGGTCCCCTTCTCATACCCTGGGACACCCACAAGGGGCCTCAGAGGGGAGGGCGTGTACCGCGCCCCTGCTGGTCCACCTGGGCGCTGGCAGCGGCTGGGGAGGGAGGCTCCGCGGCGGGTCCTGTCCCGCCACAGCCCCAGAGCATCCCCTAGGGGCGCCCCCGCCCTGCCCTCCCAGCCTGTTTCTCGCCTCCCCCCCCTTCTTCCCGCTCTCCTCTCCTCCCTCCCCCAGACCCCCTGCGGCCCCCGCCCCGGCGAGGCGCTGACTCCGCGGCTCTCTGCGTGTTCTCCAGAGGTGGACGCCTGCGACTCCAGCCCCTGCCGACACGGAGGCGTCTGCAAGAACGATGGCGGGGCCTACCTGTGCGTCTGCCCCGAGGGCTTCTTCGGCTACCACTGTGAGACAGGTAGGGGCCATCTGGTCCCCTCTTAGTCCTCGGAGTGCCCTCCAGCACCACCTCCCCGCGCCCCAGGGTTGACGGGAACGGGCAGAGTGGGAGCTGCGCTTGGTTGACCCCCCAGAGCTGCGCGGCTCAGGCCTGCAGTGGGCTCGGTGGGCTCAGCCTCACAAAATGAGAGGACGCGTAGCTGAGTCGTGGGACATGGTCACAGATACCCCCAATCCAAGGGCAAAAAGCCAACTAGTCCAGTGCTACCTAAGACAATGCAGTCAGAGCTACGACAGTTTGTCCCTCCGGGGACACAGGGCGCAGGGCTAACCCCGGACCAGGAAGCCGAGTCCCCACCTCACTGAGCGCTAGTGGCCCATGCGGAGGGCTAGGTACCCGCTTGTAGTTGTTAGCAAGGGGCGACAGTAGAAACAAGGGGAAACCGAGTCTGGACACTGGCCTCCGCTAATCCTGGCGCTCAAAGGCAGGCCTCACCCAGCCCACCCACCCCCCACCCCTGTCTCCTGTGTGCTCACTCACCCCAACCACCCATCTGCCAGGACACCGAAGCAGCCACCGCACCCCTGGGGAAGGGCAAGCTGCGTCCCCACCCCCACAGCCAAGTGTTAGTCAGTGCCACCCCCCCCCACCCCCAGACCCACAGAGCAGAACCGACCCAGCGCCCGCCCACTGCGGATCCTGCGGGGTGGGGGCGCCTGGCGAGATGTCGCCAGCACTCACGCTGCTCTCCCCCTGTCCCCCGCAGTGAGTGACCCCTGCTTCTCCAACCCCTGCGGGGGCCGTGGCTACTGCCTGGCCAGCAACGGGTCCCACAGCTGTACCTGCAAAGTGGGCTACACGGGCAAGAACTGCGCCAAAGGTGAGGCATGGTGGCTCCGGTAGGGAAGCCCCCCCTCCGCCGCACTGTATAGCTGACAACACACACGGGCTCCTCCCCCAGGAGCAGGGACGTGCGGGTGTGGGGGGAGGGGGGGCAAGGTGAGCACCGCATGCAGCCCAGGTGACTCCCCCCTCAGGACCAAAGATCTATGAACGGCCACCAGCGGGCGGTGAGAGGGCCCTGAGCTCAGGCCCAGCCTCGGCGGGGTCGGGGGGCCTGGCTTCCAGCGCCCCTGACCACGCCCCCCTGTGTTCGGCTGGAAGAGCTGCTCCCGCCCACGGGCCTCCAGGTGGAGCGGGTTGAGGAGAGCGGGCTGTCCATCTCCTGGCTTCCGCCCGAGGGCCCTGCGGCCCGGCGGCTGCTGGACGGCTATGCGGTCACCTACACCTCGGCTGATGGTGCCTTCCGCCGCACGGACTTCGTGGACCGTGGCCGCTCAGCCCACCAGCTGCGGGCCCTGTCGGCCGGCCGGGCCTATAGCATCTCGGTGTTCTCTGTCAAGCGCAATGCCAACAACAATGACATCAGCCGACCTGTGGCGCTGCTGGTCCGCACGCGTGAGTCCACCGGCCTCGCAGCCTGACACCCGAGGAAGAAGTGGCCATCTGTCCACCGGGGATCTGCATGGGGTGTGCGGTGCGGGGACAGGAGGAGACAAGAGGGAGGGGAGGAGGAAGACGAGGTTCCCTCACACACCCCACCCCAAGAGCCTGGATTGAAGTCTGCCCTCCACCTCAGAGGAGCCTGGGGGTGTGGGGACCCACCTCACAGTGCTTCCCCCCCGCCTGGAACATCACCCTACTATGAATAAGTCAGTTAGCCAGGGCAGAAGACGGACCCGGGACCCCTAGAGTGTTACAGTCACATGGCGAGGGGCAGAGTCCCCTCTCTTGAGGAGCAGGGGTGCTGGCATCGGCTGAGCAGCCCCGTGTCCCCCAGGACCCCGCCCTGTCGAGGGCTTGGAGGTAACTAATCTGACGGCCAGTACCATCTCAGTGCGCTGGGCTCTGCACCAGATCCGCCACGCCCCGGTCAGTAAAGTCCGCGTGTCCATCCGCCATCCGGAGCCCGGTGGAGAGGAGTCCACTGACTTGGACAGGAGCGTGGACAGGTTCACGTTTGGGTAAGAGGCAGTCGTGGGCCAGAGGGTCATCTCTGGCTGCCCCCAGTCCCCCTTGAGAAACAAGTTGGTGGAGCAGACCACGGGTGCCTAAAGGGTGGGCAGTCAGATGCCTGTGTGGGTAGAAGAAACGTCTAGAGGTTTTCAAACTTGAGTATTGTCAGAGCGTTTCAATGGGAAAAATACTTAGGAAGCCCCGCCCACTGCCTCCGATAGCTCAGACTCAGAGCCACCGAATAAGACCGAGTAGAGCTGCCCCCTAGGGTGTCTTTATGGAAGTACATCTCCCCGTCTTTCTCCCAACCTTTCACTTAGCAGCCACGTGGCACCAGGGCTCCTAGGAACACCTGTTGTTGTTGTTGTTGTTGTTAAGTGCCACGTAAGGATTTCTGAGGCTGTAAATCTTTTCTGAAGCAAAAAGCCTCATCTTTCTCCTGCAGATCAGCTGGTGGGCTCAAACCACCAACCTTTTGGGTCACAGTCCAGTGTTTACCCTACAAAGCCACGGCATTCCCTGGAAGCCCTTGTTGTTGTTGTTAAGTGCCTTAGAGTCGGTTCCGACCCATAGCGACTCTGTACAGGGTTTCGGAGGCTGTAAATCTTTAAATCTTTACGGGAGCAGAAAGCCTCATCTTTCTCCCGCGGAGTGGCTGGTAGGTTTTGTTTTTCTTGAATGTTTTATTGTGAATTATGTGACAGTTTACATGGGAGAACATTAGTTTTACATTCATTCTATCGTATGTCATCTTATTGCCATGGTTACAATCCCCTTCATGCATCATCAACCCACCAAAGGGTATACCCTGCAATCCTTCCCCTGTACCCCCCAGGTCTTCAGCACACAGTCACTCTCCCTCTCTGGGTCTAAAGTCCCCAGTTGCTCCATCGCTCCACGTCATCATCTCTGGCTCCATTTCAGGCATCACTGCTTCTCTGGGTAGGGTCCCGCTCGCTGCTCTTCTCCCTTGATCGTCCTAGGGACCTCTGCTCCTAGATTGAAAAGTTAATCACTCCCCTCCTTGCTATAAAACTTCTGCCTTTACATTTCCAACCCTCACAATCAGTCCTGATAACAATTATTCACTATTGTATCACAAGAGACCCGTCTGTATTTCATTGCATCAGCGCCGCCTAGTCAGATTGAATGCTACTCACTGGAGATTCTACCTTCCTCCAGGCCCTCTGGATCTAGGTTCCCTCTTGAAAGCTTGTAAGCCAGTCACTTCTTGCCTTTGTAGCTCCGCCCCCCATTTTGGGTAGCCAATGTCCAAGTTGCCCATCCCTGTCTACTCTGTGTGTGGAGGGGGTGGGAATGATTCTTGCTGTAAGGACTTGTTCCCTCTTTTGAGCTACTGCTTCCATAGGTGTAGGTCAAGTTCATCAAATTGTATGAGAATACTTTTTTTTTTTCCTCTTGTTTTTACTTCGGGTTGAGTTCTGATCATCCAGTCACTGAAGCCAGGATAAGTAGGTATTATCTGCAAGTGTGGGTGTTCTTATGCATATGCCCTCTCTTCTTATCAGCTGGACGCTTCACTCTCTGCTCTAGTCCTCTGTGGCTATGTCACTGACTCTGGGCCCAAGAGTCTCCAGGTCTTGCCACACTGCTGGCCAACAAGGTCTTCACCCGGGTTTGCAGAAGTCTATTGAACATTCGACTGGTAGTTTCGAACTGCTGGCCTTAAGGTTCGCAGCCCGATTCATAACAACTACGCTACCAGAGCGCCTTTGGGTTACCTAAAATTTAGTTCTTTGTTAATAAAACGTGTCCACACTTTAAGTCTGGTATACAAACCACAGTGGCTTTGTACAAGAAGCACTGGACTGCTAATTACAAGGCTCTGCTGCTGGAACCTTCCAGCCACTCTGTGGTGAAAGATGAGGCTTTCAGCTCTCACAAAGGTTTTTAAAGCCTCGGAAACCCTATACAGGGGGGCTATGAGTCAGAACCCAGGCGATAGTACTTAACATCAAATGCTGAATCGTTAAAAATTAAACACAAGCTGGATCCCCACATAAGTGCCTGTTAAACCAGCAGGGTTAGTGGCTCTAAGGAGAAGCAGGGTTCAATCTGAAAACCCCAGTAGTCCCTGGAGCTCCTGTCTCAGACTGACCCCTATGGTCAGTTATCAAATGGGCCCTTCAGAGACGTGGGAGTATGTGTGGAGGATGGCTGGATGGGAGGCTCGAGGTTAGGGACATGCAGGGCCATTGAGCTCTGGGGTCTGCAGAGAGGCACACAGTCCCGGTTAAGAACATTGCCACACAAGTTCAGACCTGCTCACCTGAAATATCTCAGTGGGGCCAACACAGTAGCCCTGGTCATGGCCCCCGGGGAGCAGGGAGTCCAACGGGGCTACAGGTGGCTCAGAGGGTGGCTCAGAGGTGACCAAGGGGTCCCAGGTGTGCCTGTACTCTGCCCGAGCCCTGCTCTTTTCTGCAGACTCACCGGACCACTGTGCACTCCAGTGGGGCTGTGGGCTGTGGGCTGTGTTAGACCAGGCTGCCTTCCTGTGAAGGTTACCTTGACTACTCCTTCCAAACAACTTGAGATGGCTTCGATTTAAAACACAGATAGACCCCACAGTGGGCACTGGGTGGCCTCCAGTGGACACACACTCCTCAAGACAGCCCATGCAGGACACAAAGACCCCGAGACATTCTGTGCTCTCCTCGCCCCCTCCATGCAGGACCCTGCTGCCAGGAAGGAGGTACACTGTGCAGGCAGTTACGCTTAGCGGGATCGGGCCGGGGGAGCACCCCACTGAGAGTGTGGCCACTGCCCCGCTGCACGTGTGGACCCGTAAGTAGAATGGCGTGGTCTCTGGGCCATGTGGGACCTTCTGCACTTTCAGGATCCCTCAGTCCTCCTCCGTGTGCTGCCCTTGGCTCAGCACATCTCTGGGAGCCCCTCCACTCTTGCGACAGTTGGTGGCGGCCATCCAGGGCCGTCTGCTGGTGGTGACATGGGCCAGCACCCTGCTAGCAGCTCCTCCACGATGCCCTCTAGTGGTAACTACTGAGAACCACAGGAGCCTGGGTGGACCTGGACAGCCCCTGGCCCATTCTGACTGGGCCCCATAGGCTCAGTGGAGGAGGAATAGCCCCCTAGTCTGCCCTTCCCAACCCACTCCTAGTGGGTGGGGCGATGGTGGGCTGCCCGTGCATGGGGAAGGGTACAAGAAGGTACAAGATGTGAGGTTGGAGCAAGGTCTCAGACCCTGCCCACTGGGAGAGGCGTAAGGCAGGCTCAGGGACAGGGAGTCAGCCCAGCTCAAGTCTTACCCAGATCCTGAAGCACGGGGACCCCCAATCTGTGCTCAGAGCAGCAAGAGCCTCAGTGGGTGCTTTAGACCAGGCTCCACCCTACCACCCACCAAAGCCCTTCAAGGTAGCCTCTTGGCGGCTGACTCCCTGCCTAACTCCACACTACCCTACTGAGAAGGGAATTGGGCTTCTTGTGGGCTGTGCCCCACAGCCTCTCGCACCTTCTGCCTGTGCCTTGTCCAGGGCCCTCGCCTCCTGCAAACCTAACAGCCGCCCGGGTCACAGCTACCTCCGCCCATGTGGTCTGGGACGCCCCCTCACCGGGTGCAGCACTGGAGGCTTATGTCATCAATGTGACCACCAGCCAGAGCACCAAGAGCCGCTACGTCCCCAACGGGAAGCTGGTGTCCTACACGGTCCGCGACCTCATGCCTGGGGGGAGATACCAGCTCTCCGTGACAGCCGTACAGAATACAGACCAGGGCCAGGTGCACAGCGAGCCTGCCCACCTGTACATCATCACCTGTACGTGGGCACCTGCACTGCCAAGGACACTGGGGCAGGGTCTGGGGGCGGGAACCCTGAAAGGGGACTCCACTGCCCCTATACCACCCCACAAGGGAACCCAGTCCTGGCTCTGAGAGCTGTTAGATCCGCTCCCCCAGGACAGCGTCCAGGTGGGGAAATGGGGGCAACCATAGTGGGGCCACAAGCACCAGGAGTGTGTGCTGGGGCCAGGACTGGTCCACATACCCCACCCTGACAGCAGATAGAGGGCTAGGACCCGCGCCAGACTCTGCCCACCAGCGTCCACACCAAGGCCAATGGCCCTTACAGGACTGCAACAGGGGTTCCCTTGAAGCATCAGCCAGAGGCCCTCCCCTGCACGCCCACCCCCTGCACGCCCACCCCCTGCACACCCACCCCCTACACTTCTTGTTCACTTAAGGTTGCAGCTGCTAAGCAGGTCAGAGGGAAACCCAGGACAGTAATGATCAGCCCTTCTCCTCTCTCCACCCACAGCCCAGAGGGAGAGTACTGACCGGCGCTGGCACCAGGGTGGGCACCCCCGGGTGCTCAGAAATAGACCCCCTCCAGCACGCCTGCCAGAGCTGCGTCTGCTCAACGGCCGAGATGCCCCGGAAACATCCACCCAGCCACCCAGGTACAGACGAGCTGCCTGCCCTTCTGTCGGGCTGCTAGAGTGGTGTCCACTGCTCCAAGGTGGCTGCTGGCAGCTGGGCAGGAAGCTCAGGCCTCAGTCGCCCCCCCTCCCAGCAGGTACTCTGAGCTGGTAGACGGCAGAGGACGGGTGAGTGCCAGATTCAACAGCCTGCCCAGCAAGTCGGTCACCCTGAGAGCACGTGAGTGTCCCCCAGCTGCCCACCAGCTCACCCCCATGGGGACAGCACAGGCAGTGGAGGGTGGGGTGGCAGTGGGGGGAGGGGGGCAGTAGGTGCAGCTAGCTACCAGGAGTCTGACAAGGAAGCACGGGCTTTTTTATATAGGAGCCTGTTCTTAACTGGCATGCGTGCTGGGGAGACAAGACAAAACACTAGACAGAGCTGCTGACCCCACTTAGCTGTCTAGTATCCGTGGGCACGGGGCTCTGGAAGCCTGGGAGTGCAGACCCATCCTGGGCGGTGGTCTCAGAACCATCCCAGTAGCGGGAAGGAAGGGCCCAGGGTGGGCCATAATGGTCAGAGCAAAGAAGGTGCTCAGGAGCCACCCTGTGACCCCTGGAGGCCTGGTCATTCCTAGAACCCACGGCCCCGGCCCCAGCGCAGCTCAAGACCCCAGTGGAGGCCCCCAAGCCCACCAACCTGGCCCTGCATCTGGACGAGCATAGTGACAAGGAGAACGAGGGTAAGTCTGGGTGGACTGAATTCAGGAGGACCAGCGAAGCAGGCACCCCTCCCAGCGACCTCAGCTAGTGGTCATCAGTGATAGCTGCTGACACCAGCTGGCCCCTGTCATGCTGACACACTGACCAGTGGTCAATCCCATGCCATCGAGTGCCTTCTGGGTGGTGGAGGACACACTCTGAGGCATGCCTGCAGCATGCCTGGGCCTGAATCTTAGCCAAGTCTTATACTAGTGACCACCTCACAGGAAATAGGGAAGAAACAGCGGGCCACAAGTGAGCAGAGCCCAGTCAGGAGGTACACACTACAGGACCCCTGACCGAGTGTCCTCAGTCAAAGATACACAAGAGCATGTGTGGTCCTGTGTGGATCCAAATTATATCAATTGTTGTGTTGAATGCTGTCGAGTCGTTCCAGCTCATAGCATTTCTGATGGGTTTGAACCACTGACCTTGTGGTTCACAGTCCAGCGCTGATCCTACAGAGCCACACCAGGGACAGCGGAACATGGACTTCTACTCACTGCCATCTACCTGGTCCCCACTCACAGGCAGTAAGACAGTGTAGAACCGCTTCCATGGGGTTTCCCAGGCTGTAAAGCTCTAGGAGCGATGGGAGGGTTTGAACCACTGACCTTTCGGTTGGCAGCCCAATTATTAAGCCACTGTGTCACCAAAGCCCCTGTAGTCAAAAGCCAACCCCCCTGCCACTGAGTCAATGCCAACTCACAGTGACCCTGAAGGAAAGCAAAGCTGCCCCCAGAGCACAAGTGTTTATTGGAGCGGACAGCCTCGTCTGTCTCCTGACAAGCGGCTGCTAGGTTTGAACCACCATCCTTTAGGTTAGCAGTCCAGTAGTCCAGTACTTCACCCACAGCACCACCAGGGCTCTGCCTATGGTATTAGGGAGCTACTCTAATTGTGTGTGGTAGCTGTGAGGTTCAGGGAGGAGGCCGTAAGTCCACCTTTCAAACACCTGCCAACCTACCACCGATGGAATGGTGTCTGAGGTTCTTTGAGGTTCTCAGTGAGAGACAGAAGGCTGGAGGCTCCGTTCCTGTGGATTTATACGTTTTCATAAAAAGTGCTTTCAGGTCTACATTTGCCAAGAGCACATCAGGACACCTTGGAGGACAGGTGTCAGGACAGTGAGGGGACAAGGGTTAGGACAGACAGGAAGCAGGGCTCCACTCCCCGCGGCTGGCCCCGCAGACCTGCAGGGAAGCCGCTGGGGTCGCTCCTCTCTCAGGAAAGTTTAAGAATTCAAATGCAGCTCTTAGTGACGACACCCCAGAAGAGGACAGGCCACCCCCCAGCTCTGCCACTGGACACAGGACAGCAACCCGGGAGGCGGCTGCCTAGGGCCTGGGGGGCAGGGTGGCGCTGGGACAGACACTGAAGGAGAGGGCAGGTGTCCATGCAGGACCATGTGTGTGTATGTGTGTGTGTGTGTGTGGCTTTCTGTGCGTGTGGCTGTCTGTGTGTGTCTCTGTGTGTCTCTGTGTTTGTTTGTGTGTCGACGGCATCCCGAATGGAGGCTGGGAGTGGGGGATGGGGTGGGGAGAGGGCTGGAATCTTCCTGAAGGTGTATTATGGAGTCTCCTCTTCTTCCATCCACTCCCCTTCTCTCCCCCTTCCCATGATGGGCACCGTGGAGCAATGAAGAAAGCTAGCATAGCTGCTCCCTTGGGTCATGGGAGCCTCCTGGGTGCCCGGCTCAGTTTGGACCTCATCAGTCAGCTCCCCCAGGCCCCACTGACCCCTGTGGCTCTGTTCCAGAAAGCTCGAGAAGCTGTTCAGAAAACCCCTGTCAGAATGGGGGTACCTGTGTGCCTGGTGCCAACACCCACAGCTGCACCTGCAGCCCCGGCTTCAAAGGCCAACGCTGTGAACTTGGTGAGTCTAGGCCCCAGCGCGGGCCTCCACACCCCCGGGCACCAGGCAGGCTGCCACACCACCTCCCTGCCCTTCGGACCTGAATGGGCAGAGTGTCCAGGACCCTTGGGCCTCAGCCCGAGCCCCTGGACGCCAGGTCGGAGAACCATGGCCAATGACCAGATGGGGATAGCACTGGGAGGGAGAGTCGGGGCCCCTGAGAGTGCCTTTGGACCGAGCTGGGAGGGGGGCAGGACACAGGCAGGAGGTCACGGGGTGCCTGGACAGAGCCCCTCCTGAACCATGTCCCTCCTGCCTCTGCTGCAGCCTGTACAAAGGTGCCCCAGCCCTGCACACGCCTGTTCTCCGAGACCAAGTCCGTCCCGGTCTGGGAAGGAGGTGTCTGTCACCACGTGTAAGTTGGGCTTCATCTCATCGTGCTCTGGGGTTTTCCATGTGTTTTCCCGTCGAGCTCACAGCCCAAGGTGGGATGTTGTTGTTGTTAAGTGCCTTTGAGGCCCCTCTGTGGTTAGAGTCCAGTGCTCATCCGACAGCACCACACCAGAGCCTGAGTAAGTGTGGCAGCTTGGAATCTGTCATCTGCTACCTGCTTGTGACAAATAAGGAGAACTAAGCAAGGGGCTGAAGAACGGGCCTGTGGAGTACAGCTCAGGGGCTCTGGCTCCAGTGTTGAGCCCTTCCCTCCCTGCACACCTGAGCAGCCGTTTAGCCTTGCACCACCACCAGGCCCACATGCATACTTCCTGGGAGAAGAGGGACGTCCTCTTCCTGAAGAAATAAGCATACGAGGCCGCAGTCCCAGTCAGCCACTGAGCTGCGATGCGGCCTGTTGCCCATCTGTCAAACGTGCCACAGCAGAAGGACATGGGACTCATCTCATAGGACTGCTCACTAATGTCCTGACTCTGTGGCGGTGGCTTTGGGTTTACTGGGCACCAGAAAACACTTCTAGATACTTTGGCCCCATCAGTGAACAAAACAGACAAATCTCCTGCCCTCGATATTCTAGAAGGAAACAGACAATAAAAAGTGTATGTTACAGCCTCTGAAAGGTGGCAGCATTGAAGAAGCTGTGAACCTGGGACCACGCGTGTCTGGGGAGGTGTGGGGAGGGCAGACCACAGCATTTAACAGACTTGGAGGAGGATCGAGGGTCACCGCCTGGAAACAGAAGCTTGCCCGGCACATATGAGGGCAAGGAGGCCACGTGGTAAGGGCTCGGGCTTTATTCTCAGTGAAATGGAAGCTCCTGAAAGGCTCAGAGCCAAGGAGGGACTTGTTTTGGAGATGACTGCGGCTGCCTGTGGAGAATGGAAGGTAGGAGGGGTAGGGTACAAAGCTCGGTTTGAGCTTGGCCATGAAGCCACACTTTGTCTACGGAACACACTGAAGGAACTGGTTTACACTGGGATTTGGATTCTGTGTTCACGGGGCATCTGAATTTGGAGTCTTTGGGGTGGCAGTCGGAGCCCATAGTCCCCAAACTTTCCTATAGGGCTAGTTACACCAGTGTTGGCCCTAAGTGTGTCAGACAGCCCACCGGTACCTGACGGGGGAGGCCCACTTACCTGGTTTTCCATCTTGTTACTTCTAACTCACCGGCATCTTTAAAGGTGGTTTCCCGTATTTAGCATAAAGTTGGGTCTTGCTGTGTACCCAATCTGACCAGCTCTGGTTTTTATAGGAGTCTTTAGACCATTTACGTCTAATGTAATAATCACTGTGCTGGATTTATACCTACTGTCTTGCTCTTCATTTCTACTTGCCCCGTGTTCCTTGTTTTTTCTTTTATCTAGATGAGTTATTTCTTAGAATTCCATTTTATCTCCACTATATGCCTGGTAGTGTAGTGGTTACAAGTCAGGCTGCCAACCTCAAGGTCAGCAGTTCAAAACTACCAGCTGTTCCATGGGAGAAAGATGAGTTTTGCTGCTCCTGTAAAGATTTACAGCCTCCAAAACCCAGTACAGGGTCGCTAAGTGTCAGAACCCGACTGGACAGCAATTCACAATGTCCAAAAAAGTGCTTCCGGGCTGCATTCCAGGGCCCCATGGGCTCCTCCCGCTTATCTCTGTTCTCCCAAACCCGAGCATTGAGCATCCCACACTGTGGCTGACGTCTAACATCATCTGAAACCAGTTCCAGCCCATGTTACCAGTTCTGTGGGTTTTCACCAGGTCCTGTTGCTGTCTCGTGTCCGAAGACTGTAAGTCTTGCCAAAGGTCTTAAATTGTAACCCCACATGGACTGGGCATGTTGGTTAGAAGTCTGCCCCTCAAGTGCCCTGGGTTTATCTTTTAAATGGCTTTGATGTGTGAGAACTAAGTAATGGCCATTTGTGGTCATTTACAAATTGGTGAGACGGGGTATGGTCAGTGCTGATTTTACTTGAAACTGAAGTTCAAGTGACTTTTTAAAATCAGCCTAGAGACCCAAACAGAAGATGAGCGATTAACCTCGGGTCTCCCATGCCACCGCCACCCAAAACTTCAGACTCCTCTGAGCTACTCGTGGTGGTGGTATGCCATTAATTCGATTCCGACTCATGGCCACCCTGCATGGGGTTTCCGAGGCTGTAAATCTTTACAAGAGCAGAAAGCCTCATCTTTCTGTCTCCCGAGTAACAGCTGCTAGTTTGGAACTACTGGTCTTGAGGTTAGCAGCCTGACTACCAGAGCGACTCAAAGAACAAAAAAGTGAAGCTGTCTCTTGCCAAGGGCCATGGGGCCAGAGGGCCTGCTTGAAGCAAGAGGTGTCACTGACTTTCATCTTTTGTCTGTCAATCTTAAAAAATAAATAAGCTCATCAAAGTGTACACTTACAGTGGATCTTAGTAAAGGTGTGGTCCACGAGGCTCGGAGTGCCACTGCTAAGTGGAGGCTGCCCCTCTAAACTCACCAGAGGCTCTGCGGGAGAAAGGCGTGGCATCTGCCTCAGTACGCAGGGCAGCCTCGGAAGCCCCACGGGGCGGTTCAGCTGCTCCTATTGGATTGCTGAGTCGGAGTCCACAGCAGCAGATTTTTCATACCTCAGGAAAGTTAACGTTTAAAAAATCAACATGAATTGTATATTGCACATTTTAACATATCCATGGGTAAAGTTGTTGTTGTTGTTGTTTAAAGAAAATAGCAGTCTTTCCCTCAAACCCTTTCATGTGGCTGAGTAGCTCAGCGAACGTATAGGTCTCCACTTCTGATTCTTCATAGCTTTCTTGTAATGACAGGTACAAACGAGTTTACAAAGTTCACCAGGACATCTGCTTCAAAGAGAGCTGTGAAGGTTCAAGCCCCAAGAAGACCCCACACAGGTGCTGTCTGGGGAGCCAGCCCAAGCCATGTCCTGCATGAAATGGGTCAGGGTGGTCCTGGGGACGCGGGCTGAGGGGTCCACAGGCCTGCAGATGGAGCCGGGCCATCTGTCTGCCCAGAGACCTGGTCTTTCTGAACGGTGCTCTGATGCGAGATGGTGTGTGAGCAAAGCTGTGTGGTGGCTGCTGGGGTGACCATCGTGTCCCTGAGTGTAGACGTTACTGACAGTCCACATGATGGCTGCAGACACGGGGCCTCTCACCCACTTCCTACCAGCTCTTCCCTCCCAGGCTCCAAGGCAGCCACAGGAATGACTACCGTCTGGGGTCTGACTAAAAGAAATGCCTGAGTACAGTATGTACTTTCAAAATGACAGAATCCAATACTCTCCAGACCTCTTCAAACTTTTATTATTCACGATTTCATAGTATTTCCAAGAATCAGCCACGCACACTTGGTTTGGCTGCGTGCATGCCGTCTGCAGTAGGGCTGTCCTTCCCAGCTGGCTCACACTGTGTCTCCTCCACACCCTTCCTTCGTTGTCCAGAGCCCAGATCCACCCGGGCCACAATGCCCACCTCAGACTCACAGAAACCAAAATGCTAACCACAACGTGTGGATCTCTGCTCTGGTGTCCCCAAAACTAGAGTGAGTCTGAGCTCACGATGAGGCAGACTGGGGGAGCCGTAGGACTCTCATCAAGCCACTTGTCTGTGATGATTTCAGGAGATAAAGTAACAAGCACTGACGAAATCTCAGGGTGCGTTTGCCCAACAGAGCTGTCACTATCTGGGGGCACCTGCCTCCTCAGCGGGCTCTGCCCGGGAGAGTCAGCTGTGCCTCCAGACAGCTGACTGGACGCTTCTAAATTCACACAAGTTCCCACAGGACCGTATGACAGCACCACACAGGGCTGCCCACAGACAAGCTTAGTTCAGCCCCTGCCACCCACACATCTTCAGGGGAGGGCTGGCCATTCTGTCCAAAGCCAGAGGGTGCCGGAGCTCAGCTGCTGGCATTGAGCTCATCAAAGGCCTCGATTCCCCTCCCGCTCCCTAAGCAAATGAAAACAAAAGACTCCCGAAGGTTGGCATTTACTACTTGACGTTTTTCAGGCAACTTACTGCAAATATTTTAAACCCAAATTACATTTGTGGGTTCTTAACCCAAGTCGTTTAACCCAAGGAGCTCTGGTAGCGTAGTGGTTACGAATTGGGCTGTGAAGCCCAAGGTCAGCAGTTCTAAACTACTAGCTGTTCCGCGAGAGAAAGATGAGGCTTTCTGCTCCTGTAAAGATTTACAGCCTCCGAAACCCTGTACAGGGTCGTTATGGGTCCACGGCACATAACAACAACAATAACATATATATGTACTGTAAAATACCTTGAAAAAAATCCCACACAAATACACAAGGTGAGACTGTGGGCCTCACACAGCCCTAGGAAAGCAAGTCCTCTCCACAACCTCCACCACCTGACCCTCTGCCATTTCCACACCCAGAGCAGGTGAACATGCCCAGTCCTCGAGGAAAGACCGAGTTCTTTCCAAATGGAGGAGAAGGATACAGGTGGTCATCGTCCAGGAAGCGGCTCCTCCCGAACACACCAATCCCACTGCAGTGACTACACAGGTCCTGAGGGCAGTAGCTTTAGACGAATGCACGTAAGCTCCAGTCGCCTCATGTCTCATTTTGTTTTTTCCCTGAAGGATCCACGCTGTTGACCTCAAGAGTTTCTGAGACCCAGGATGGAACAGGACACCCGAGAGCAGAGTCCCTGGCTGGAGTTGACCCCTCTGGACTTGTTTCCTCCGGCCTCTGGCAAAGACACCTCAAGCCTGGTGCTGAGAGGGACCCACTGAACAGCCCAAGACTGAACCAGGCTGCAAGCCTGGAGACACCGCGAGGCCAACCGCCCAGACAGCCTACGACCCACTAAGGTAGCCCCAGACTAAGCCAAGCTACAAGCCAGGCGACACTGAGGGACCAACAGCCCAGATCTCCTGGGACCCAGTGAGGCAGCCCAGACCAAGCCAGGATACAAGCCAGGCGACACTGCGGGACCAACAGCCCAGACCTCCTGGGACCCAGTGAGGCAGCCCAGACCAAGCCAGGCTGCATGCATTGTGACTGGGAGGTGACAACGTGACCAGGTGCCAACTAGGAACACGCCTGTGGTCTTCTTCAGAAACCCACCGACAGAAATACATCTCTTTTGGAGAGCTAACAGTCAAAATGAGGAGGAAATACTGCCAGCAGACGGCGGAAGGTTTGGAGACGGCCTCTGGAAAAAAGTCTATTCCTGCTGCCATGGACCCACCCTGTGAACCAGCAGCCGCTAAAAGAGAAGGTGGAATCCAGGCCCTTTGGGTCTACCAATGGGCCAGCAGACTTTCTGTAGAGGTCAGGCAGGGAACGAACGAGTCATGCTGCCGTAGACCATGTCATGAGCCATGGCTCTGCTCCAAACAAACGCAGGCTGGCCACGGCCCCTGAGCCACACAATATTTAGGCTTTGGACATCACTGGGATGACCCATCGCAGAGGCACCCAAGGCCCTGGACGTCCGTGGACACACTGCCCACTCCCTGTGTAGAAATCAGCTCAGCCACTCCTTCCAGAACCAGTGAGTGGGCTGGGCTAGGTCACGCCCCTCCCTTCCCTTAGCCCCTGGGCTGTTAGGTGGCCACCACCGACCACCCCACCAACCACTGCTCTTCAAAGCTTCAGCCTTTGTAAACGGAGCACCGCCTTCTCCTAGGGCACCGGCCTGGCTGGTGTTCTGCCAAGGAGCTCAACAGCTCACCCCGCCCTGAAGTCAGTTCCTGCTGGACTGTAGTCACAGGACAGGCCCTGTCCTTTATCTTACATAAAAGACAAACATCTGTGAAGAATTAGTCCGTTTCAGGCTCGTTCCCATTCAAGTGTGTGCATTTGTCCGTGTGCCATACAGTCCATCCTTTTCTGAAAGGAGACACTGATCCGTCTCTGCTGTATACAGTCCAGAGTCTCCACCCGTCTCCAGGGACGCAGGGGGACTAGCGGCCGCACAGAAGCTACCCGCTCGGGGGCTCTGGGCCCATAAGGGGCCTGCAGAAGCCAGCGCGGACGCACAGGAACATGTGGTGTGAGCTCAGAAGCCTTGGTTTCTACCAGAAAAGGTCTAGTGGTGCTGAGGCCGAATCTACCCTGAAACTTTGCAGGCACACGAGGACTTGATGTTCTGAAGGGCTGCCTTTCCCCTATGTTCCCTCAAGGCTCATTCTTAAAGACTCATTTCTCCCTGCAAACAGTCAACCTACAGTTTCCCAAGAAAATGAGATCATGGAATCAAAATTTGTCAGGGGTACCAGCATTTATTGTGTCAAAATGATTTACCAAGTTTCACAAAACTCGGTATGGCAATGTGGGATATGCATTGGACTGCTAACTGCAGGTTGGTGGTTCAAATCCATCAGCCGCTCCTTGGAAACCCTATACACGGTCGCAATGAGTCAGAACCCACTTGACAATACAAAACCTGGAGGAGCTGACCACGGAAACCAACATGGAGTTCAACTGCCCCCACTGATCCTGGCTGGGCACAGGAACAGCAGCCAAGGGTCCTCAGGCATGTCTGTCCACTACCCACCAGGCTGCCTACCACCTCCACGCAGAGCGATGTCCCAGCTGGCCTCAGGGCCCCCTTGGCTGAGTTCCCTAAGTTCCCTATTGAAAACTACTATCCCCGCGCCAGACGCTAAGCTCCTCTGTCCATCTCGTGCTGCACCCCCCGTCCCCCGACAGAACACAGGGGACAGCAGACTGACCAACACAGAGCCGCAAACACCAACCAGTGACTTTCCTTTTACGGAGAGGCCACAGAAGCTTCCCATGGTCATGAACCCAGGCAGCCACATTAGCTTCCCGGGTCCACTCGGTGCTGTCAACGTTTAGGCCGCTGACTGATGTGAAGGCATCCCTGGCCTCCACCCAAGATGCCATCAGCACCCACCCCGCAGCTGTGACCACGCCAGAGCTCCCAGAGCCACTGACAGGCTGCCAAAAAATGCAAAAAAAACGCTGCTTGTGGCGCCCATCTTGTTCCAGAATGTTCCGGAACGTACCAATCCTCACACCCACTCTGCACCCCCAGCGACCAGTCGAGACCAGACCCTTGGCCGTCTAGGTCCTGCTACAAGTCCCAGGTCAATGCACACTCTGCCCTCATCCCCTCTCCCCAGAGCAGAAGACCACCAGTGGGGCGGGCAGGGGAGGGTGCACGCAGCTCCAGAGCATCATGAAGTCAGCTTAGGAGGCCCCGGCCCCTCCATGAGCCAGCAGCATCCAGGTGGCGAGGAAGCCCCAGTATCTGGCGGCAGCGTCACACATGGCCCTTTTACTCGCTGGACACTGAGGCGTTTGAGCAACGGCAGGACGGTTTTGGACGATTTTTATGGAAAACCTGCCACTTGTGTTCATAAAATTAAGTGCTGTGACGTACGGATGTATGTCCGCCTCCCGTCTCCTGATTTTTGTCATCGTCACGGAGTATGTGTGTGTGTGTGTATGTGTGTTAAAAGGGACTCAGTCTGAGAAGGAGGTTCATTCTTCACAATGTCACGCCCACCAACATGTCTCAACAGAGAAAACAATAAGGCCACATTTTGACCCGCTAATTTTATCAGCTCAAAGTCAGTCACTGACTGGCCTGGGCTGAGACAGGGTCCTCCCTACAGACACAAATAGGTCTCCTGTTTGGTTTGTCTACTTCTCAGGGGACTTCCCACAGGTTTTTCCCTCAGAAGGCTAGTTTTAGGGGGCACAAGAATGAGAGAAGACCCACATGGAGCTGATACAATGAAACACCTTTAACGTCACTGCGGCTCCGTCAGCTCAGTCCCCTTCATCAGTAAGCTCCTCCTCTGCGTCGTTGTCAGAGCTGGCGCTTCTGTCCGCCTCCGACCTGCCACTGTGAGGTGCTTCTTCCTCCTCCCGAGCCAAGAGCTTCTTAAAAACCTCGAACTCCTCCACAGAAGACCGGGCCGTCTTAGCCAAAAACTCGGCTTCCGAGACTCTGAAGATGTCCTTGAGGAAAGGGTTAGGGAGCTGCGTCTGGCCCTTCTTGTCGGGGGTCTGATACCGCCCGAGGCGCTCCAGGTACATGTGCCTCTGTTTGATCTTGGTGAGCGAGTACTGCAGAAAGTCAGTCCTCACCACATCCGAGTGCTTAATCCCCATCCTGAAATAGGCATACTGAGAGAGACACAGCCGGTCAGGACCCGGCCCCGAGCCTGCCGGACAGCAACCACAGGAAGCCCACCCTCCTCCCCAGCATCCGCCCGATGGCTAAGCAGCCCCTAAGCATTCTTCAATTCATACTGAGAAAAACAAGGCAGAAAATAAAGGGGCAGGAAGGCCAAATGGCATTTTGATTCAGATGGGGGAAAAAGCTATTTGAATGGAAAGAATGGGAAAAATGTCAGCAAACATCCAGAAATCTGACCTAATGCTTGCAATTCTTACAAAAGCTGAGGACAACTGTCACAACACATTGCCAAAACCAATATACGCAATGCTTTCTAAAGGCAGGCAGGTGTCGGCTCTCTTGGCGAGTTACCAAAGGAGCAGCCCTGGTGGAGCAGTGGCCTAAGCACTGGGCTGTTAACTATAAGATCAGAGGTTCAAACCCACCAATTGTTTCTAAGGAAGAAAGATGTACAGCCTTGGAAACCCTGGAGAGCAGATCCACTTTGTCCCACAGGGTCACCAAGAGGAATTGATGTCCAAGAGCGTCCCCACCTGGGTTCTAAGAGGGGACCTGCAGGCTAGGTGTGTTCTGCAGTAAGGAGGGGAAGTAGGGTCAGGTCCTCTGGAGTCAGACTGGGTGAGCACACCTAAGTCATTCACCCCGTCTCCCATGATGCGTCTCACGACGTCTGAAAACCTTCCAGAACTTGCCATTCCTGTCTGATCATCGCTCTGTGGTTCCCCCTCACCTGAAATTTGTACTCCAATTCATCAGGGTCCCCCAGAAGGATGTAGGGGCACCTGGACAGAACCTCCGTCACTTGCTGCACCGTGAAAAGGCACTTCTCCCCGAGCACCCTGATGATGACATCGAGCTCCCGCTGATTCAGGGTGAAAATTTCAGGGCAACAATAAAGCAGCCGCTTCAGTTTCCCTGCAGAAGATTAAAAAGAAGGGGCGGGCGTGTGGCTCCAAGTATGACCCCATAGGCTGGAAGGTGCCACTGAGTGAACCCCACACATGACGGAACACAACACTGCCTGAGCTGGCGCCATCCTCACAACGGTTGTCATGTTGGAGCCCACGGTTGCTGCCTCTGTGCCAGTCCAACTGGTTGGGGTCTTCCTGTTTTTCGCCGACCCTCCACTTTTCCAAGCATGCACCCAACTTAAGCTGGCTTTTAAACAAGGAAGGCTGACCCCTAGTGAGTGCCAATTTCAGATAGGGTTTCCCCACGGCGTAAGGAAACGGAAGGGGCCGCGTCGGACTCCGGTGCTCTGGCTAGTGCAGCCTTCCTCAGACTTCCATTGGAAAGAAGCCAGCATCGCATTCTGTTTTCTCCCTTCTCAATCGTGACAGCTTCCAGGCATCGACTGGAAGGTAACTCAGGAAGATGGGACCGAGCTGCTCTGGGGTTTAGACTGCCGGCTGACACCTCCTTGTACAACGTAAGACCCACAGCCTGCAGGCTCAGGAGTGGGTGCCTGAACTCGTCACATGAATAAGGAAGGTGGAAGTGCACAAACACACACATCCTCACTACCTGTGCAAGTCTCAGGGCCTCGAAACAGAAAACCACAAAGCGAAACTTGCTAAAAAGCTCCCTGACAGTCAGCGCAGGCGCTGTGGAGCACATCTCTGGGCTGTAGGCTGTATTGTCTCCTCTGGTAGCGTAGTGGTTACGAATCAGGCTGCTAATCTCACGGTCAGCAGGTTGAAACTACCAACTGTTCCGCAAGAAAAAGATGAGGCTTTCTGCTCTCGTAAAGATTTACAGCCTCGGAAACCCTGTACAGGGTCGCTATGAGTCGGAACCAACTCCACGGCACATAACAACAACAACTTAAGAGGCAGGCTAAGGTTACTAATAACAGCTTTCCTGTCTCCTCTTACAAATAGGCCAGGTTTCCTAATTAACTACACGTGGCCAGAGGTGATCTGTTCAGAGAAACAGAGCTAGGCTTTTGCTTATCATCTTCTAGAAAAGCTAATCTGAACCGAGAACTCTGAACCTATGGGCCCACCCTTCCCCCTCTCCCAAACAATGTCTCACCAGCAAGAGTCAAGAGTAAAACAACTTATTAGTGGAGCCACTCTGGTCCACGTGGGGATGGGGGTCCCTGGAAACCCTCATGAATGACAGCTGGGGTCTCTGAAGTTGGGACTTGCTGAGGAGTGGGCTGAGGTGGCTGAAGGGAACAACCACGCCACCAGAGCCACACAAAGCTGCAAAGTGGATACAGAAACAAAGCGCCAAGACCACTTCAAGTTCCCGTAAACATCAAAAGATACATGGGCACGCACACCTGTGTCACCGCAAGGTGACATCCATCCACAGAGCAGCTCCAGGCGCTGAGTGTTACAGACCACACAAGGCTGTTGCAGTCCTGTGGCTGGCGGCGCTCCCATCCCAAGATGCACCTTCCCTCCTGCCACACCTGCCACACCAATCATTCCTCTTCCTCCTCACCTCTGAGCCGAGTCCCGTCCCATCTTCCTCTCCTGCAGCGCGCCCCCCCTAACCCACCCCACCATAAGCTACTGTCCTTGACCTGACGCCCCAGCAGGATGCACAAAGCCTGGGCCTCGTTGTACCTTCGCAAAGGCCCAGCTTCCGCAGGTAACTGGAGCGCTTCTTCACCTGCTTTGCAGGCAGTTTCAGTAACTGCGGGCTTTTCTTCAAAATCACGCACACAGGCCCTGGATTCACGCCCAGGAGTATTAATTCTGCAGTCAAGGTTAGCAGCTGCTGGGGGCTGGGGGCTGGCTGTATGCTGAGCAGTTCGCCAACATGGGCATCACTGAAGCCCATGTCCAGAAGGGAAGTGGTGACCATCTCCAGCCCCACGGCCCCTCCACCCACAGGCGACCTCGGCTTCTCAAGGAGGCGCGCACTGAGCCTCGGCCTGTGCTCTGGCTCCTGTGTGTGCTCTCTGGATTTGAGGCAGGGTGACTCCCCCAGGCTCCAGCCACTGGAGGCTGTCGTCAGCTGGCGCAACACCGGGGTCCTTCTCTGCTCCCCAAGACCAAAAGGCGGCCTCGCGATCCTGGCCCAGGTGAGGGGCATGGGGCGGTGCTGGCCCAACACCTACAAACACAAGGCAAAAAGGGAGTCAACCCTGCCAGGGGGTCTGTGGGTGGCTACGAGCAGTCCACACACGGCGTGAAGCCGGCCTCGAGTCCCGACATGCTTTCTCGGGGTTTCTGGGCTCACCTGGCACTGTCTGCCTGAAAAGTGTGGCTCGGACTAGCCCACAGATTCATGTACCTAAACTCACGCCGCGAAAACCACCCAAAAAGCACGTGCGGAAATCGCAGGACCTTTCAGTTCTCCTTTTCCGCGAACTTTAAGTTCCCGCCAACACAGAAGTCCCGAAATGGATCGCGAGATTCGTCCACGGCTCCGTCTGCGCCCACACCCTTCTCCTCCCCGGCCGTCAGCCCAGCTCCCGCCGAGATCCCGCTCCCGCTCCCGCTCCCGCCGACGTCCCACCCCGCTCGAGTCCACCGCTGCCCGAGCCTGCGAGAGAGCGAAACGCCGCGCTGAGTGGAGCCGAACGCCGCCAGTGCGGTTGCGGTGGGCGGCCCCTGGCGGGAGCGCGCCGACCTGAGCTAGGGCTCCGGCGGCGGGAGCTACTGCCCGGGACCCGGCCCAAGCTCACCAGCCGACTGAGCGCGGCCATAGCGTCCTATCGGCGCCGGAAGCAGCTTTTCTCCCTGGTCCTGTACTTCCGCCCTCCCTGGTGCAAGCACGAGGGGGCGGAAAGAGTGTTCCGCCATCAGAGGGCCGGTCTGAGATCCTTCTTGCAGAAGCGGCTCCTACTACGGCCAAGATCCGGGCCCTATAACGTGCTCTCCCACGTCTGTGCTCCGTGATGTGGAGATTCTAACCTGCCTTTGTTTCCAACTTTATTGTGAATTGGTATTTACAGGGCACATCAGTTTTCCATTCAGCAATGCAGCAGTTTTGTTTCATGTCATCGATTGCGGTCCCCACACTGAAACAGCCCTCATTCCACTTCCTCCTTTCCCATTTCCCTACCAAGACCGTGTTTATTACACTGTTACCCTGTTGCGCTTTGCCACGTGTTAGCTTCTGCCCAAGTAAAAATCACTTTTGTCCCACACTTCTGCCTCCGATTACTTTTTAATTATTCTCTCATGTGCTGACAGGTTCTGACTCACAGTGACCCTGTGTAAGGTTTCTAAGAGGTGGGATGGGTTTTATTGTCACAGCACTTTTAGATTTCGAGTGTCGCAGCAGCTCTTGCTCCGTTGTCCAAGAAACTAAGGCCACTCGGAGAGGTGAAGCAGAGTTTCAGATTTTATTAAGCTGCCTGACTCAGAGGAGCTAATTTCTCCAGATACTGAGCCCTGAATGGAAGGCAACACGGGCCTATATGGGGTGAGAGTGGGGGAGGGTCCAGGCTACAGACCTGTTTGAGGGCAGGGGGCACCCAGGGGCATTAGTCCCATTCGATGACCTGATTAACATTCTAGCTTGTCTCCTGGGCGGAGGGCAGTGAATGATTTTACCTTTTCCTGTTCATTGTGAGGAACGTTATCCAGCCCCGGTCACTGCCTGGGTCCCTCTTAGGCACTAGCGGGTCAGTATAAAGCCCTGACTTGGACCTTACACAGGGCACTCTGGAGGAGACATGGGGTGGATCCCTTACCCCCATAAGATCACTAATGAGTTATGCTTGCTTACCCACGAACGCTCAAGAAATCCAGTCTGTACTTGTTTTTAGCAAGAGTGAAGCTTAATTTAATTTTGCAAAATCCGGCACCAGCCAGACCCAGAAGACACTGGCCGACACCAGCACCACTGCTTCACAAAGAATTTTATCTCCTAATCTAAGAAAGTCCCTCCCAGAGTTCCTGTGGTGCTGTGAGTTAATGCGCTGGACCACAATTTCGGTGTGAACCTCAAGGTTGGAGGTTCAAACTCACCAGCCGCTCCTTGGAAACCCTACACAGGGTCGATTTGGGTTGGAACCGACTCCCAGCACTTAACAAGTTCCTTCCCCCACGCGCTTCTGTTGATACACTAGCCAGCAACCTCCTGGATCCCTCCTCATTCCTGCAGACCATCCTAAGAGTTATTTCTCACAGTTTGAACCTGACTGTGCGGTTAACAGTCCAGTGTTTAGGCTATAACCACATCAGGGCCTCTTGTTGTTGCTAAGTGTCGTCAAGTGGATTCCAACCCATAGCGACCCTGTGTAGGGTTTCCGAGGAGCAACTGGTGAACTTGAACTGCTGACCTTGCACCAGGCCTTAGTAATTAGGATTTCTTGTTGCTGTCTCACCTACTCACCTCTGGGAACTAAGGAAAAATACTCGATTCTTGCACAGACACACATGCCCACCTGCTCTGTGCCAGGCCCTGAGCTGGCTGTAAAGTGTCTGAGTGACTATTTGGATACAGAGGTCAAAAGGATTGTATAGAAGAACCACGTGACTCTGGAATTAAAAGATCAGGTGCTGTGTTTTTGACTCTGATGTTCAGTGTCAAAACTTCAAACAAATAAATTATTGTTAATGTTTTCATACTCGATGCTAAGAAACTCCTTGTGGGCTAGGATGTGGGAGTTCCTCTAACAGCTGACAGCATCTTGGTCTGTTATGAAAACTCTGCTCTCTGGAACTACACTGTATTTGGAGAGGGAACTATGTTAGTCTCAGTCACAGATACCATTCTCAAAGTACCAGGATAGGGCCCCAGGCAGCCAGCCAGGTCAGACCTGAAAAGCAGCTCACAGGGGAACGAACAGCTAGAGGACAACCCACGCTCCCCCTTTCCCCCCACCCATCTTCTGAGACTCAGCGTGCCTGCAGAACTCCAGGCCCACCATGGGAGAGTGACCCAAATGACAGACTGGCCTTCTCTCCAGCCACCGTGAGCCAGGGCTTAGAGATGGCCTTGATGTGACGGGAAACTAAACTGGAAGACGTGATGTGGAACAATCCACCACGTCCAAGTCGGAGGAGAGGTTTACTGGCAAAGTTGTTTTAATTTGGAAAATGTTCCAGAAAATAAACCCAATCAACAAAGGCCACATAGCTGTCGCTCTACTGGGCACACACCAAGCCAGGGAAAAACTGCACCCGCATACTCAGGCAAGCACCCACACAAGCACACATGAAAGTAGGAAGAGACTCTTGGGTGTCTTGGAAGTTTGTGCATTTAGAGCCCGCTACTATAAAACACAGGTCACACTAGAGACCACGAAGCCCACGCCGTCTCCCAGACCCGCAGAGCACAGGGGTTGCCCACGGCTGTTAGGCAGGCGTGGCTCAGATGTGCCCATGGGCAAGGCCTCCCCGGGGGTGGGGGGGTGGGGGGATGACCAAGGACAACAGGATGGCCTAGGTATCGTGGAAAAGAGGAACTGGAGCCAGCGTCCGGCAGGCCCACAGAGAAGTCACTACGACATCCATGCACACAACACTGAGGTGCCGTTAAGAGCCGTCCCCGGACTGGGGCCCCTCACGCAGTTCCAGGTCCCGCACCCCTTCACTTGGGCTCCTTGCGACCTCCACACTCACACTGGCCACGATTCCGCTGTCTGCAGTGAGAGGAAGACACGGCACTAAACCACCAACTTGACTTCACTCTGGAAGAAACCCTCAAATTAAACCCACCAGGGCCCGGACACCTAACTGGCCATGTTCTAGAGCTTTGAGGGCCCATGTGTTGATGGGGGTCTCACCCTAAAGGTTGACACCAGCCCCCAGGGAGAGGGAGCCCACCGCCAGCCCCAGCCACATCAGAACACCAGAGCTGCACTTCTCAACTCGCCCACTCCACCCCACCCGGCCCGTGCCACCAGGCCAGGTTTCAGGTGAGAGCCCACCGCCCTGGAAGGTAGCACACCAGCTCTGCTACCCCAGGTGTGTTCGGGGGTCTCAGGAGAGAAGGAAGCCAGTGGGCCTGCCACCTCCGCCCCCTCACTGTTCCCAACACAGCTCACCTGGCTTGCCCACCCGACACACCTCTTCCCAGGTGTAGTTGGCCAGGTTCACGGGCTGCGTCACCCACGGGTCCTCCACCAGCTTCTCCAGGGTGGTACGCTGCTTGGGGGCAGGCTGCAGCAATCCCGACACAAGGGCCATGAGCTCTGGGAATGAAGTGGATACCATGCTGGGTGTGGGCAGCTGAACGCCCACTCCCATCACAATGGCAAGCTCCTGGGCCCACCTCCGGGAATGCATCTCAACCCCTTTTCTAACAAGCTCCCCAAGGCTCCAAATCGTGCTTTGGGAAGGACACGTCACCCTGGAGCGATGGCCACAAGCTGGACAGCACAGAGTTCGTGCCAGGCCTCACCAGTGCCCTCTCCCAGAGGGTACTGACAGCTGCGTGGGAAGAAGGCGTAGCCCAGCTGAGCTCCCAGAGTGGACCGTGAGGTTGTTGGTGACAACGAGGGTGTGAAGTTATGGGTGAGGACCGAGGCGTGAGGTTGTCGGTGAGAACAAGGGTGTGAGGTTATGGGTGAGGAC